CTGCTGAACATTCACTCCGTTCCACTGTGCACGGAGGCTTGACTGTCTGTGAAATATTCTCAAAGCCATATAAAAAGGAAATACGATTGGGAACCTTTTTTCCTGGTTGTGGCATGACACTAATTTACTTCCCCTCACACTTCCAAGGCAATTAGCTTTGAAGCTTCTCAGAAACTATTCTTGTCCACATCGATAGTTAGCATGGCAAATAAGAATTTAAGCAGGTCCACTGGGCGACAGCAGATAAATATATCAAATGAGGTTATACTGAGAAAGAGAAACCTAAAAGATTAAAGAAAATATAGCTGCTTCTTCACTTGTGTCTGGCCCTTCATTAGTGGCCAGTGGTACCATGCAAATTTATTTGTGATTGCCTGCAAGTCAATGACAACACACCAATGTTATTCAAACATCTGTGGCGATTGATGCAGAGAGCATTGCAGATGAAACCATTTGGTGATTAATTCTTCATCAAGACTGACACTTTGCTAAGAAAAGCACATTTTAGCATAGGAGAGTTATTTTCTCACTCAACTTATTATGAGTGACCAGATTCTCCATGAATACACCAATCAGGATTTAGCAACATTCAAAATATGCAATGTGGCTTGTGGGTTGTTGGTGCGTCACTGCAAATCAAATCTGATCAAACCACAACCACAGCCTCAATATAGCAGAATAACTGATTTTTGAGATGTTAAACTCATGCTAAGTAACAACTAAAGGTGTCTTTTTAATGCTGTAGGAAGTAGTGAATGAATGAATGATGGAGTGATTTCAGACACAGGGGATTTAAGGAGGAGAACATTACATTTTCAAGTGAGGCACATCTGCAGGTATGTACAATAAAAGTGTTATATAAAAGCTTCCATTCAGGTGACCTTGGGTCTCACAGCCTCCCCTCAGTCAGCATGCCTGATGTGCCTCCACCAAGTATCCTTAACTCACCTGTCTTGTCAACCAATTCAGAAAAACAGGAGCAGCTGCCTTCAAGGTCCTTTCCTCTTGGCTCCTCACCTTCTATTTGAAATCTTATTATTTTACCATCTAACTGAAGCTCAAGACCATACAATATGTTTAGAAAGAAAACTTGCCAGTAAAATTGAGTGGTTTCTTTGGATGGCTCACGTATCTGCTTTTCCATGGCAACCCCTTCCAGAAATTTCATCTTCCCAGAACTGCCTCCTTCAGGACTTGCAGCATTATTGTACCAGAGGCCTTGTATAACAGAGTGACCCTGGGAGTAATGGTTTTAGAAAGCAAGATGTAAACTGAAGTAATGGTCAAGAGAAATATTTTTTTTGAGAGGACACATTCTCATTAATGCATCTCTGTCTTCTTTGGCTTACATAGTTCTCAGTTTTAAGGCAAAATTTGTTAATACCAGTAAATACTTTGGTTCGTTGTATTGTAAACATGGCAATGAGTATGAATGTAATTCAGTGACTATAAGATAATGGAAAATATCCACAGTCTTAACTCCAAAATTTAGGAACATTTCAGTTGTAGCTCATAACTGTGCCATGCTTAAACAATTTACTGGCTTATTTGCAACAAGATTTTGTACATTGTTATTTAGGAAAATTAGCTCATGTGGACTAAAATCTACACAAAACAGACACAAAACTCCTGATAAGATCATCCTGTACACAAATTAAACGTACAATTAAAACATTTATTGCAGTAGCTGTATACCTGTAGAGTAGTAACAAGGATTAACTGTTTCAGTATCTGCGATGTCAAACACCCTCACAACTGACAAACATACTGCGATAAGCAAATCACTCCATCCCACTTAACTTCTTTATACTGTGACATAAATATGAAAGTGCTATACAAACTGAATCTTTTCCTTAATGCACAAATCAACTCTATTCCAGCAAAATAAAGTGACACAAAAATGTCAAGTTACTTTTAAAATTTATAACTTTTTAGCATGCTTTTCCATTGTGTAATTTGCCTTCCATGCTGTATAATAAAACAAAGCTTTTCAGACAGTGGAATGACACATGACTTTTCTTGACTGACCATTTCTTTTCACATGCCTTTGTGTTGTTGTCAGTAGCAACGGCTTGATTTTGTACTTTAATATATATGTGATTACGTCTCTAAATTTGGCATACATTCAATGCATAAGGCATTTGATTACCAGACGGTATCCTTTGTAGCCACCACGTTCTCGTCGTTTAGATAAACATAATTCAGTGTTTGAAGAAAGGTCATGAAGGCACAGTGATTAAAGTGTTATCTTTACCTGTGTTTTCTTACATATGGAAAATAAGTCTGTGCGGAAATAATATATATATATACATATGCCAATAAATTGCAGGTACTACTGAGGGATTGCACTCAGTTAAATCACAATTTGAATAAAACCTATACAGTAATAAGATCAACACTAGATAAAACATTTAGCCATTTACAAATATATTGCTATTTAACTGTACTGAACACTTTCCAAATCAGTTTATAGAGGAGCGCTTTCAGGGCGTTCATTTCTATAATGCACATATTGAGCACTGACATCCTTCATACAAAATGTTTTTGATTTTTAAAAAACAGTTTGCCTGTGGCTTTGCATTAAATGAAAAAAACATATATTATGAAATATGGGCAACATTGAGTATATTATGGGACTGAATTGTTTTAAAATCAACCGTAGGGTTTTTAAAGAATCAAGTGAATGTTTTCTTGTTGTATATTATGCCACATTATAGGTCTTTGTCCAGTCCCAATCCCAGATCCTGGTGACAAGCCATTATGATGACAACAGCCAATAACTGTCCTATTCACTGTGGTTATTACAGATACATGATAGTGGTTAATAAGTCTTATTTACAAACACACAGACAATGACAGAATAAACAAGTGTCCACTAACAGTGTTATTAGAACAACACTTTCTGAAATGGAATTCCATATTCTTTGATTGTGTCGAATATATAGTCCTGAACAACTCAATAACAACCACACCACAAATATTTGGATATATTGGTCAGCCATAGTAGTTTTTTTTTCTTGAAATTTGTTTTCTTTTTCTCCATTTTACACGTTCTGCTGCCGCTTGTCCAAATCACACATGAAGTGGACAGAAAATGTTACTGCATGTTGCAGAAATCCATGAAGGTACATAAAAAAAGAGATTTCTTCTAGAGCCATAGTAAAGTTTAATTGTAGAGAACACAGCAGAAGCACTATAGTCGGTGGCCTACATAGGACATGTGGCTATCACACTGCAGAAGCATCAACTTAAGCAGGAAGAGAATAAACAAGAAAGAAAAAAAAAGGAGGAACTCAGGTGAGTTGCTTTGTCTTTTTACTGTGTCCAGACGTTAGGACATCTTACAGCACAGAAACAAAGTCCTTCTTATAGCTGCTGGTCCTTTGGGCTGTCTGGACAGGAGGCTGGCTGGCAGGACTTCAGACTCACCAATGGAATGTCAGCCACACCACTAGTGAAGTGTCCCTCTCCACTCCCAAACTGTTTCCTGTCTCCAAAATGCTCTGACCGCCCACTCTCATTTTTCCAGGTTCTGGTCAGAGTGTGTCCATTGAGAAGTTTGTCTTTGGGACCCCACTCCCTCTGAGACCCAAAGCTGGGTACAGGCGACTTTGGCTGTTGATATGTTCCCAGTGTCGGGGGCATCCAGCAGTTGTCTGAATGTCCCAGGACTAGGCACTCTTGCGTGCACATCTCTGTAGCTTCCACTAGGCCACGAGGTCCCAAGGGGCCATCTAAAGAAAAAGTGAGGAAGAAACCAGGTCAAAATATATATTGAGAGCAACTATAATAAATGTAATATTAATACCCTGTAGCTGTAGTACATTTAAGTTATTAAAAAGTTACAGACAAAGCCAAACGTTCTGAAAACTGAAACTTTTACAGTGATGAAATGAAAACTGGACAATGCAGACACAGTAAGGATTAGATTCTTCTACACCCCAGATTTTTCTCCCTATACAGTAGGATTGTGTAATACAATATCTATTTGTAGCAGCGTTAAGGTTTGGAAAAAATAATGGTCTTGGTTAAATAGTGATACGGCTGACTTGTACGAGCCAAGGCGTGTTTACTTTTTCAATATATAGCCAAAACTACTTTGTTTCCCCAACTTTTAAGTGGGGTCTATTGCCTAAACTGCAGTCCCTAGTGTTAAATTTCTTTTATATGCCAAATTATCAACCCAACCATTTTCCTATGACTTTGAGGTACAAAAATGTAGCACTTCATTATCGAAACAAGCAATTAGATTCCCTTTAAAACATACTGGTAATATGTGATTATAATTTCTAGAATACAGAGGTAAAATAAAAATACCTACACTCAGCTTTTTCTAGATTTGGTGGCTTTTCAATCCCCTTTAGCTGCTTTCTCTTAAGAAAAGAGAGGAAAAAAAAAGAAAAAGCAGGTACCAGTAGCAGCTGCTTACTTGCACTCACTAAGGCTTTCCAGCTCACATGTCAGGTCCAGGTTAAGTGAGTTTGGGAAGTGGACCAACCAGCATTGTGTCTGGAACAAGAATGAGCTGTGCTTTTGTGAGCTGGAGAGCATGGGATGGTTACAGGCCTCGAGAAGGATGAAAAGATAGATATTTTCTCTCATGAGTCCAGAGAAAAAAGGACATTTCCTAATTAATAGTAAGTTATAAATAGCTGACAGCCTAATAGGAGCTGGCACTATTCCTGACTGATGTTGGCTAATATTCACCTACAATAGTAACATGTCTTTCTCTTTTTTTCTGTTATTAAATCTAAATTAGTTAAATTAAGAGATTTTTCAGTTAATGTTAGCATGAAAAAAAGTTTTTAGACAAATTATATTTTTTAGCTTATCACAACAGCATAATGTACTGAATAAATCTCAAGCTTTTATGTTGTGTCAGAGTTAATACTGTAGGTTAGTTGAGCGGTTACCAATGAAAGTAATTTAAACAAGTGTCATATAAATGAACTATTAAATAATTTTTGACACTGAATTAAATGTTAAAAGCTTGTAGTACCGAGCCCACTGTGAATCAGCATCCAGTTCTGCAGCATCAATGGCATCAGCTACGTTTTGGTATGCAGCTCTTTATGCTTGTTCCTTAAAGGTTAACCCTGTTCCCTAGTGATCAAAAATTCATTAATGGAGATCTAAAGCTCAGCTCAAAACTTTGTTTTGTTGTTTTGCAGTGATTGGTGACAATATAACCACTGTCTTTTGGATTCAGCTTTTTGTTGGCATTTGGCACGCACATATATATGATGTGGAAAAAAACAAAAACTGAGACCATTCCTCTCCAAGACTGTGGATTCCATCACAATAGCAGGCAACTGTAAATGGCATGTGTGGAGTCTAAGCAAGATACACATTATCATAGTTGCATGAAGAACCAGAGAGCAGTAATAGCTGGTACCCAGGAGACATCAAGATGAATTCCTCAAATGAGATTGTAGATGAGTGACATCTGGGGAGCTGTTAAGGAAGAGAGATGGAAGAAAAAAGAAAGCATGGAGCACATGTGCACTGTGTACAGTGGAGAGCAGGGGAACTATTTACGAATGTGCCAGTTATATGATGTTTTTAGCTTTTTTTTTTTTATTGTTAGGTAAGTGATTATAATGAGGGCATGATGATCAGGTCAGTGATGACATTTCCTCCAACTTTTAAAATGTGGGGTGCTTAAAAAAAAAAAAAAAATACACATGTGTATGTGTGTGTGTGTGTGAGATATTAGCAGTTTGGGTATTGGAATTAGATGACTGAAATGTCAGTTAATTTCTTAGCAAAAGCAGAGCCAGTCATTATTCAAGGACACTCTGTGCTTTGTTTTATTCCCTGGTGTAATAAACATGACCATTTGCATGTAGATTGGTACAATCAGTGGCCCCAGTGGGCAGCAGAGGATAATTTGAATCTGCAATGTTCTCTAATAATATCTGCATACCTACTGTTTTAGACAATGTAGAGACAAAACCTAAAACATTTGCAGCTGCCATCTCATCTGGAAGTAACTTAAAACAAAATCCGCCAATTTGTGTTCAAGGCGAAAATAAAAAGCAGTATAAAGTGATGTGAGGCTGACCTTCTGCATGTAACAATAACCAATAAACTACTACTGTAGCTATAGATAAGAAAGTGTGCATAAAAACTATGAGCAGAGAAGCTGAAATTAGATGGCTAAATATAATGGATAAATAGCTGAAATGCCCACCATATACCAAGCAGGGCAAAGGCAGACAATTTTTTTGTTCCCTTCATAACAAAGTCCTGCGGTTTATCACTCTCCAGGAATCCAGCTCCACACTTGAAAAACAGCCTGGTTTATTCATAATTTCAACTCAGCAAACCAAGTATTTCAAACAAAACCAAAACACCACACAACACATTAAATGTCCCTCGATCTCTCTTTCCTGGCTTCTTATTACTGCATATGTAGATGGAGTTGTACCCTTAACAGTGAGTAGGAATATGTTGGCCCATTTAATTGAAAGGACACTGTATGAGGTAGATACCTTCTCCCATCATCCTCCCTCCCTCTGGAATGGACTTTCTGACATTTTAAGAGAATGAGTCTGGATTTAGTACCTGCTTATTAAGCATACTTTCTAACCTACCTAAACCCTCACCTTATTCACCATTGTGTTCTCTTGTTGATGTTTTTGTAGCTTGTCATTAACTTAATTGATTTGTGGCTAGGCCTATTATTGTCCAATGTTTTCAGATGCATGTAATCAAGACATGCACAGACAAATCCTTATTTCTTTTTTCCTGCACAGTCCTTCATTATAATCTTGCTTGTTAATAGAGTTCTGTGATTAAATATTGACAGACACTGACCATCAAGGCTTGTTAGCAGCTAGCGCTTCTGATTATCTTGTATCGAGGAATTAGCTTGTTTGCCTCATTACATTCGGACTTCTCTGTCATCAGAATGACATCTCATCTCATGTATCACCTTTGTCAATACGTACTTGATTGAGCATATTGTCAGCGCCACTGAATTTCATATTTTGATTGTATACTGTATTCATTCGGTATTATATGTACAGTAACATAGCTGTGCATGCAAATAGCGTAATCAAGAATCTGTCACTGCTGACACCTGTGTGACTTGGAAAAGCCTGGGGGTGTCAAGTGACATCCTGCTACTCTTGCTGAAGCCATGAAGATATGTGGACACATGATAAGCACCAGCACACTGTGACGTTACAGCTGTAGATAAGAGGCAGCTGGGCCTGCACTCCATTGTACGCCGGCTTAACAAACAAACTCAAAAATCTGATGTAGATGCTGTCTGGACCTGTAAAGAAACTGAAGTCTTTGGTAACTTTTGCATGTAAACTTTTAAATACTGGATAAAGGCACAGCAACACTGCAGTGAAGACAGTGTTCTATCAGTACATTGGCTTAATAGACAGGTTTTATGCAGCTAGACTGATTAGCCTGATTATCCAAAATTTCCTATTTTTGCAGTTACAGTATATGCAAAGGAAATATTTGTAATCTTAAGTAAGCTATTTTCTTCCATTTTATAAAACTGCTGTATGTCCAGTTTGTTTTGTGAGTCTAGCAGTGATGAAAAAAGTAAAAATGATTGTTGCTGAAATAAACATTCCTCTTTTATTGAAATTCTGTTCATGCTAAGGTGATATACAGAACCTTTTTTAAATCGATGACCACAATCAAAGAAGAATTAACATACTTCGGTTCAAGTAGCATCAGTGTGCACATTCACCTCATTTTGCAGAGTCACAGCTCTGCTACATAGATAAAACAATATCACATCATGCTGCCTTGCTTTACATAAAATGCCTTACACATTGATTAGTGCTAACTTGTCTGCACATAGCTCATTGCTCATGGTTACTATGAAGTCAGGTTTCTCCCTATACACACACACACAACACACACAAACAAATAGCCAGTGGCTGATGTTTGGTGCAGAGCCCCTGAGTGCTTTAAATAACAATGAGGCACAGGTGTTGAGGAAGGCAAGGGATTCAGAAGTGTGTCAGATGGTGCTGACTTTTGCTTACAGCACTGTGCAAATGTTGCAGATGTCCACAAAGACAGATAACTTAAATACAAAAAAGTCATTAGATTGCCTCCTGATACAGAGTCATTAGGATGAGCTGGGAGCTGGTCTGTTTAATTCTGCAGAACCTCTTGAATAAATGTGAGCCATGAGCAATAGCTGTTTAATGATGGGCACTTTGACCAAACAGCATTCACATGCCTCTCTTCAGTCCTCCTACTCAGCATCAACAGATCTCAGAGGTTACAGAGGAGGAGAGAATCAGCCTCATTTTTGGCCAGAGGTTGTTTGGAACTATAAGGGAGTATCCTTGTTTTAGTCTGCCGGCAACAACTAATGAAATAACGTTTGGCAAATTAATTGGATGCACACTATCAGTGCTGATGCAAGTTCCGTACCAGCAACCTACAGCCTTCATAATGGCAAGGGGGAACAGGTGGAGAGGGAATGAGAGTGAGAGGGGATTTAATGTCCATAGGGCTTGTTTACTTATCCATGCTGTTAAGCATGCCCAGATGTTATTTGGGGACAAATGATTATTTGTTTTGGTCCAGCGTGGAAGCTCAACATACCATACCACTGTCTCCAGCTGCCAATCAAGAGCCCACAAGATGCATGTGGCAGAATAATTCTATATGATTCAGATATCCTGCAAGTTTTATTTGTGACCTTTTCAACCTCCACTATAAAACATGCATACACTTACCAGTCCATCAG